AAGCGATTTGGTTATGAAAATACTCAAATTATTATTTTTTTTCTTATATTTAATTTCTTACGAAAGTTAATTATTTCACGAAATTTTATATTATTTTAACAATTTAGTAAGAGCGAAAAGTAATAAGTTGAGTCGCCATCTGGTGTAAATAAATGTAAATATTTCTTAACTGGTTTAAGGTCCTAAACTCGATCTTACTTTTCACGTTGGACAACTTTTTTATAAAGGTTAAAAAAAAATGTTTTTAAAAAATTATATAACGTTTATAGATCGAATAAACTATTATTACTATCCTGTAGAAAGTACAGGTACAGTACGAATATATCTCTGAACATGTAATAAGTATCAAAATGTCATTGGATATAGCACTCATGATCACTTTTTCTTTCTTAAAATATGCATTCCACATTTCAAGATGGTATCAGAAAGAGGAAAAAAGTGATAACAGCCAGTGATTTATATAAACTTTCCTATAATTGTACATTCGCCTCAGACTCACCAGTATATTTTATTATAAAGGTAATTTTATAGACCTATATTTTATTATGAAAATTATAAATTATTATTATTTTATTAAAAACGAAATGATTTAATATACAAAAGATTATATCATGCCAAAATATATTCTATAAAATTATATATATAATTAAAGTAAAAGGCTAATTTAAGGAAAGGATAGTAGGCTAATATAATGTATTATAATAGCTCTTCCTTTATATTAAAAAAAAATAAAAATAAAATGTATATAAAAAGATAAAAGTAAATTTATACGTTATTATGCAGTTTTAATAATAAATAAAATGAATAATGTAATAAAAATATATACATGTATTCCGATATGTTCGTAAATTAAATATTCATGAACTTTATATATCTCCCACATGCTCGATACTCCCACTTAATACTGATTGATGCCATTTTTTTTTTTAAATAAGAATTTTCTAGTTATATAATTTTTTAAATTGAATCATTCTGTTTAAGAAAAATAACTCTAATTTTAAACATTTTTGAAAATGTATTAAACATTAATAAATTAATATATTTAATTACTGTATATTCTAAATAGGAGAATTTCAGTTTAAACTTAAATTCATATAATTATAATTTATTTTTAGAATTTATATATCGAAAAAATTTGTAAGAATTTTTAATATTATCTTCAAAATAATTGTGTCACCGTTAACAAATGACCCAAAAGTCAGTTTACCTAAATATTGTAAAGTCAGTTAATTGAGTTAACCGACTTTTGGACTATCCTGTATAATTTTTCTTCTTGTTATTTCAGAGAAGATTATTGTATTATCAATTTTTGGACACGTGAAATACACGATGTATAATTTTTTTCGAGTCTTAAAAAAAAAATAATATTTCATACACATCTTATTAACATTAATAAAAGAAACATTCAACCAATTATAATATAATTCTTTTTGTAGTAACGCCCTTTAATATATAATATCAATTTCAGCCAATCAAAGAAAGGAATTCTGTTAATTTTCAACTTTCCAGTGTTTGTATCTAATTTACATGACCGAAAAACTTCGTTTAATAGTTATTATGTTTTATGGAGTTCTGTTATGCTCTATATATATATATATAAATTAAGAACTGTGTTGTTATAAATATTTATTATATTTATATTTATTACATTATTTTTCATGTAAGTATAATTTACGATAAATTCACTTTTATGATAAATACGCGACAAACATATTAAAAACGAATGTATTATTTACAAATTTAAAGTTTTAAGTAATAAAAAAAATTNCTAACAGCCATGGTTCCTATAGATTAATGTTAAATTTTCTAACAAAAAATAAAACCTTTAAGACTGATTTTTATTAATGTAGAAATATTCTACGTATTTCATTTGTTCGAAAAAGTTAGTAAAAGGGACTTAATAGGATCCTTTTGTCTCCATAAAGTTTCGACGGCCCTATACAGTACTGTACATAAGCAAATAGTATATATTAATATGTTCTTAATCCAGTACTCTAAATCTAGTACAAGATAGAACCTGTACAATATCAAACATCGTGTAGTACAGGCTTTACATTATATAAATTTATATAAAAGGGGTCTCGCAAGCTTACGTTTGTTTAAAGTCTTGTACTACCTCATGTAAGAAATATAGTTTAAACATTGATTTTATGTTAAAATTTAAAATAATAATAATAATAAAGCAATATAGGGCCTATATTTCTATATTTTCATGACTTTCGAAGAAGGATAAGGCCGAAAAGTCTAAGTAACTACTCTATCTTACCCTTCTCACAAGTCAGTGCCTGGTTATATTAAATATACAATAATACAAAGTTTGTGTAATATATAATCAATTATATGTTATATATATATATAACAGTATATACAGAGTTGTATAAGTTCTGATGATGTTACACAACAATTTTTTAATGTTATTATTTTAAAAAACAAAAAGAAAAAGTCCCATGTAGCCTAACAATTAAGAGGTATATATATATTGTGCAGAAAAACAATTCTATAAATCTCCAAGAATTGTTACCTTGACCTACTGTGCCACCCACATGTAGATCAAGAAAAATCCAAATAAGAAAAATAAGAAAGAATGGTAATATGGCAGAAATGGCAGAACAGGAAGTAGATGTCCACTTTACGAGAACTGAATAAACAGGTAGGGGAATAGTGAATTTGGCTCCATACCAAAATGTATGTTTGATAAATTATTGCTGTTTTGATAAATTTTTATATATTATAAATTAACTAAAAATAGTTTTCCCCCCTCTCTTCTTATATCTTCATTTATTGACCTATTGAACTCTTACGTGGGATTTCCATTACGCAATGTATGTGGAATGTTTTACTGTTAGAGTTACATTTATTTTATTTTATTTTTTTTTTTCATTTCTAAATTTAAATGTATTTTTTATGTACAATAGAACCCCCTATAACACTGTTGACAATTCCGTTTTATATGAATTCCATGTTGTACGAGTCACTTAAATTTTACAAATACGTGTGTCTGGCTGTGAACGGTTCACGTATCTGTAAAATCTAAGTGACTCGTACAACATGGAATTCATATAAAATGGAATTATCAACAGTGTTATAGGAGGGTCAACTGTAATCTATATTAAAAATAATGAAAATTTAAATAATTTTTTTAGGTATTTTACGAGTGATAAGAGTTCATCAAGTGAATTTTTATGCATTTGAAATATGTAAAATAGAAGAACAAAACAGCTTGTTAAGATTTTTAAACTTTTATTAAAACAAACAAAAAAATTCAATATAAACAAAAAACACCAACAACACTTAATAAATACGGAGTATCTCAACTCAATAACATCCGAACGAGCAGAATAAGCAGTGCTGGGATTAAAATTGCAGCAATTTTTTTTTGTTTTTATTTTTTTAAGTTTTATTTTTCCCGATTTTTTTTCCTTTTGTGGCAGTTTTGTATATTTTATAACTTGTTCTTTGGTCATTTAAATTCATTTATGTATAAATCACATGTGCTTTAACATTCCCTTCTAACTGGGATATACATAATAATAATAATAATAATATTATATGTGTGTAGGTGTGTGTATGTGTATATATATAGAAATATAAATTCTCTTCTGGTGAAGCTCTATCTAAGAAAAAACAGGTTTAAAAATGAAAAAAAAAAACACTTTTCTCTCGTTTTCTATATTAAAAAGGCGAGCGAAGTTAGCTGAGGGGTCAAATTTTTTACTCTAAATTTGATCATTCGCCAGGGTTTTAAATTAAAAATAAAAGTACACGATTAAATAAAAAGAGAGAGAAAAATTATAGAATTTTAACTCGCGACATTTTAATATATATATTTTTATTTTTTTTATTTTATTTTTATTTTTTTTTATTAACAAACGTGTAGTTGTGTGTGCTCTTTCCGTAGGGTTAAACCACCAGCTGTGGCCACTTTTGTTCAATTAATTCTAAACACACCCTTTCAGGTGTGAATTTTCTAATTAATTAATTAACATTTTATAGAATAAGACTGGAACATAACCACAAATTTACATTTAAGGTTATATAAACCTTGGTAATGGTCATATGAACAATAAATTAAATACGGAATTTATATATATATAAATTAATTAATTAAAAATTAAGTGGCCAAAACTGTTGGCTCGACCCTAATTATAATGTATTCTTTCTGTGCTGAGATGTGTAATTATTAAAGTGTACTTTACTTTATTTTAATGTGCACCAGGCTATTATTATTATACTACATCCTTTCATATATATTCTAAATTTAATAGATAATATATTT